TATATATAGTTTCTAATTATGCATCCGACACATGGTAGCGTAGTACTTTGTGATCCTAACCAATCCTAACCTATGTGTTTGTAAACAAGAGTAGAAGATAAAGTTTCGTACATACGTAAGTGTTATCAATATATCTTTTAGGATCAACATTATTGATATAGTCACTAAAATTAATCGAAACGAGAATAAAATAGTATTAACTATAAAAATATGATATTAAACTCACTTGCACGTTAATAAGATGAATCGAATGATTGTTTTCAGAGGCACGAAATGAAAATTCTAAATATGAACTTTGTTTTATTTTGTTACAGACGTTTCACGCGATTTCTTTGTTTTAAACAATCGTAAACAAGAAAATGTCTGGGCCAATGGTATTGTGTCAGTTATGGATGGGCGGCGTAAGTAAAAATTGCTCCTTATTTTAATATGGTCATCTGAATTTTGTAATTTACACGTATCACTTACTTTAGTTAGAACCATACATGACAGAAAGTTTTATAATGAATGCATTTCATAAAATGGGAGAACAACCGCAAACAGTTAAAGTAATGAGAAATCGTTACACCGGTGAACCAGCAGGTTATTGTTTTGTACATTTCCCCACTGACGAAATGGCACTTGACGCTATGCATAAATTAAATGGCAAAGTGATACCTGGTTCGAATCCAGTAAGGATTTTGAAACTTCCAGTTGTATTCATTTGAGAGCTTAGCTTTTAGTTACCTTTATTAACCTTTAGACCGCCGGCACTAGTCACGTTAAAGCGTCTTTAAAAAGTCACAAGCAATGCGATTATGTCAAGGGTACATGCCATATAAAGCACTCATTGATACTTGAATCAGTATTTCGGCTTCCCGGCGGTCTAAAGGTTAAACAAGATGATATGCATACATGATTAATTCATATTTTTATTCTTTTTAGGCTGTAAGATTTCGATTAAATCATGCTAGTACCACAGGCAAGCCTACTGCGGAAAGAGAGTTCAGTATTTGGGTTGGAGATTTGTCTACAGACGTGGACGATTACTCTTTATATAGAGCATTTGCGGCTAAATATAATTCAATCAGAACTGCGAAGGTGATCTTAGACAGTTCTGGATTTAGCAAGGGATATGGTTTTGTCAGATTTGCTAATGAAGAGGAACAGAAGAATAGTTTAATCACCATGAATGGATATAGAGGATTGGGAACAAAATCATTAAAAATTTGCAACGCCGTCCCTAGGCCTTGGAATAAGATATCAGGGTATGCAAATTCTACATCTTTTAATTTTGAATAAATTCTTTATTTCAGCTTTCTTTTGCCAAGAAATGGACTCGCATTTGTACCTCTAATTTGCTTCTTTACCTCGTTGCGTAGGCTTGCAGATTTAACTTCATTCCTTAACTTGTTCCCTATTCTTACTTCTTGACAGTGCTTCCTATATTGACATTGCTCCCTTAGTTTTCGCTTGTTTCTTTAGTTTTCTTTTTTACCTGGTTTCCTGTGCTTGTGTCAGTAGTTTGTTTCTACTTTCCGTTTGATAGACATTCCCGGCAACCGGGTGAATCTTTTTTGAAATATCATCTCTTTTCAATTAATGTTCATTTGAATTAAAGATTTAATCATTTATCTGCAATCCTGCTTCTCTCCATCTTCTCAAGTCTAAGAGCTTTGTTTATGGTCTCAATTTTTAATCTTTTATTGGTATATTATATTTTTTACAAACAACTCTCTTGGCATATAGTGGTCATTATGATTGTGTGTTTCAGATCAACGCCTCCTCAGTCATCATCTGAATATACGACATCAAATATGAGTTCAGACGCTTATAATTATTATGACACATCTTCGTACTGGAATAGTTACAGTGCATGGCAGCAAGGCTATTATGAAAGTGAACCTACATCCGAAGGATACAGTAGCTATATATCTGATCAGAAACCTGAGGAAGATGAGTTGGAACTAATTGGTAAGAAAAATACTATTTTATGTATGTACAGGGTGTTTGGCTACTGGTGGGAAAAATTTAAAAGGACAATTCTACAAGTCAAAGTAAAAGCTTCAAGGATCACCTCTTTAAGTACTTTAAGATTTTCTATATTGAAATTTAATAATTTACAATTTTTATTCTATTTAACTTCTTGTATTCGAGTGATTGAAGAATTTAAAAAAGAATTCAGGTGTTCTCTAAAATGCGATGAATATTACAGAACTTCGTCAAATTTTTTTATATAAAATAGAATTTTTAAAATATTGCCAAATGGCCACATTTACTAACGTATTAGTGATCTGTGCTCATTTCCCTTGCTCATATCTTGCATTAATTGTATGAATTGCTCTTTTCACACAGTATTCTACTTGAACTTACATCTTTTCTTATTTTCAGAGCACTCAGTCCCTATAGACATCGACAAATTGAATAGGGAAATTATAGAACAAGATTACAATTTGTGGGATGCTTTGGAAAGTTCCAAATGGATTCCATGTGACACGTTGGAATTATGTTACTGAAATTGTATATAAATTATTCCTAATTCTTATACTACTTACTTATACTCACCTGTATTTTAATTAATATTGTAAATAAATCTCTGATTCATAATAAATAAAAGATTTATTAATCCTGTCGCCCCTAACGCCACGGCTATGGCCAGCATCTACGATTTACTAGCCTAGGAACGACATTTTTTTGGAAGGATTTTCTCAATCTTATATAGTGCTATTGTTAATCAAATCCAGAGTCTCTCTCTCTGACTTTAATTTAAAAGAAAAATCATCGTTCTACGATGATTGATGATTACCAAGGTGGATATCGTGTATATTGTCATTTATTTACATAAATATACATTATATGTGCAATATTACATAGGCCTATTATATATATTAGGTCCATGCAACAAAATTATATATTATAGTATTTATTACAAGATACAGGATCAATTATATATTATAGTACATATCTTAATGAATATGAAATAAATAAATAGTGTTATATATACNTCTATCCAGCTGATCTCTGCCGCGATCTCTGCTTAGCTATAGGATCTTGGAAAATCGTACTATAGTCCATTACTGTTGTTGATCGGTGACATTCTGTTTAGGAACTGTTCATTCTTCAACACAGTACCTATCACATTCTTAATTGCAGGAAATTCATTTATACAGACGTAATGTTACTGGCGATGTGCACATATGAAAATATTTCCTGAAACTCCGTTTTATTAAACTCGGTTTACAAATGTTAAATAGGTTAGCGTTCGATACAAAACATATCTTAATTCCATAGTTTCTATTGTATTTCTAGAAGGATTTTAAACGTAATCTAAGGTTTATTATATATGAAACACGAGCAATGCCAAGAATTGTTAATTCTATTTTCTTTTTAACCTGTCAATTTGAAAAAGATAGGTATCATTATGGAACCTCGCAGTAAGGCAGGGATGAGCAGAGGTGCAAAAAGTAAAATTGCCCAGCATCCGTCTGATCTATTTGCTCTTGGGTCAAAAAGTACACGTAGTGAAAGTTCCGATGCCAAGAGGCCAGGTGTTATTCATTCTAAACCAACTAGCAGTTCGTCGACTTCTGGTAATTAAAACATTCTTCCTTTCAAATTTATATAAATAGCACACATTACATTAATGATTTTACTAAACAGGAAATGACAGAAAGAAAGAAGCACCATCAGGCTCACTTCAATCTTTTCAATACAATATACCTCAGAAAAAAGCTAAACTCGCAACACATGCTTCTCATCCAAGACCACCGTTCTCAAGCGCTGAAGCTTGGGAATTGGTAGCTATAGATAGTGACCCAGCAGATTTTGTTCCAATGGTTTTAGAAGCTAATGACAACGACGAAGGCGACAAAGTTATAGGCATTATTTGCGGTGCCATAAAAACACTTAAAAATCAGAAATGGAAGCCTGACAGTCTAGTTTACATGGGACTACTGTACTTAGCAAAAATTCGTCCCTCTATTTTCTCAAATGACTGCATACTGCACGCGCTGTCGTCTTTACTGAAAAGGGATCAGGCGCATAACTACAAAGCAAAAGGAAATCCATTGGTTCCAGTACTCGCGGCTAATTTATTAATGAAAGGATTTCACGACAAGAGGAACTGGCCAGAGATTTTCGTTAAGGTTGTTTAATCAACGACGAATGCCAGACACATATTTGATTGATTTTTTCTCAATTTCTTGCAGTTGTACATCGAGGATGCGTTAGGCGAGAGGGTATGGGTCGATCATGAAGAGTGCAAAGGTTTTGTAGATAATATTTTGACTGGATTCAACACAAGGCACCCGCCGAAGAGCGTTCTACAACCGGAACTGTCCGTGCTTACGCCTCGAGATTGTCATAGTCCGTCCACAGTCGACGACGAGGATGCGACGTCCTCATCCGTACAATTCTCTGGAGATAAGGAGAAAATAGAATTTCCCGTGACTCCTAGATACGCTCATTGCATAGAAAACATCGAAACCATCGTCCTTGAAGCAGTGAAAGAACAATTGAACAGGCGGCAACCAGAGTCGATTACCAAGAACTTTTTGAAGCTACTTTCCTCCGCCTGTGGCTTCGTAGAGATTCGAAATATCGCCGTCCCGCGATTGGAGATGTGGCTGCATAACCCGAAATTGATGAGGCCGGCCCAAGAATTGTTGAGTTACATCTGTTACAATTGTACCTCTCATACACAGCGAGACGTCGAAGTTATAAGTCAATTAGTGAAAATGCGATTGAAAACCAAAGCCGTGATCAATTTGTATCTAAATGGCGTGAAAGAATTGATCGGACTACATCCCGAGAACTTGTCTACCATTTTGAAACACACAATCTACAACGAATTATCGAACGCAAGAAATCCGAACAATATGCCGATGCTGGGTGTCATGTTCCAAACTTTACCGGATCAGGCAGCTAAACTGCTCTCAGAGATATTCCAAGACTTGTTAATGAACCGGGAAGATTATCTGAGGCCACTGCGAGCTTTGCTCAGAGAAATCGTGCGCGTTTGCCGGCACGATATCAATCTGCTCACATTTGCGCGCACGCTGATGTCTGAGAGGCAAGATATAGCCCAGCAGTTGCTTAATTTCGAGTTCAAGGAACGAGTATTCATGTCGATCGCAGATTTACTCTGTTTGTGTATGTTATTAGCTATCAGCCCACAGGTTAAAGAGGCCGCGGCGTTGGTGCAAAGGGGCGATAAAAAGGATATAGCTTTGCTGCATCAATTTCAGAACATGGTCGCGACGATACAATTCGAAGCCGTGATGTGGCTACAGAATACAGCGCCGCAAATGTACGCCATCGGGAAGAACGAGCTCCTGCATGCCTTACATAAAATTCTAATGCTTGAATCCCCGGAGCAATACTATAAATTAGACAATTGGCCACCTGAGTCCGACAGAGTATTTTATTTACGTCTCATCTCAGATGTTCCTCTGTTACAAAGTACTTTGTTAAGGCTGCTGATAATCGGTTTCTCGAAAGTACGTGCGATAATAATAATAATAATAATAATACAGTAAAGTCATGTTAAATGCATATGTTCCGGGACTGACTCTTTTGCAATTAATGTAGAGGAGATACAATTCCTATCTTTGATTTCGACACTGAATGTAGAACAGGACAGCGAGTGGAAGGAGAGAGGAAAAATGATCGGTCGAGATAGACGGCAAAGATCAAAGATGTATCGATATGATTAATATTAATTTAACAACAAAAGATTTCACAGTCATATTTATGACATTATCCTGATTAAAGTGAGATCAAACATGATATACTTTAAATTCTTTTTTAACGTAAAAAAACAGAATTTATTATTACATATCCATCATATATTATTTACAAGTAAAATCCTATGTCATATATGGTCTCATTTTAATCAGAAAAATATCAAGAATATGTTAGAAAACAATTGCGTATGAAAGAAACCAAAAATAAACAAGTCTTGTTGTTGAATTAGTATTAATTCACGTAAATATTTTCTGCGGATCGGATTCCGTCACGCGACAATCCGGTTACACTATCGAGTTCGAGTGTAACCAGATATAGTAAGGATGGAATTAGACATACAAATTTTGCATTTATTCATTTATGCATTTAATGCGTCTTTACTCTAATAAATGATAGATAGACTGTAGAGCTTCTTAATATTAAAGTTCCAAATTTCTCGTATTCTGTGTTTTAGGAAAACGGCATCACTCATTCCGAGACGTTAGATTTGGTGGATCAACTGATTCGGCGAGCTGCGGCTAACTCGAACGAGAGCTTCCCGACGTTGCAGGCGGATAAATTAGACATAATCGAACTTATCTTCAACCTGTGCATTTATCAACCACCGGGAACTATTAACATACCATCTACATACGTCCCACCTACTTTGGCCATATCGAATCTGTATTGGAAAGGATGGATAATGCTGTTGATATTAGCTGCCCACAATCCATCCACTATCGGAGCTGTCGCGTGGAAACGGTATCCTATTTTACGGACACTCATGGAAATGTGTATTACGAACCATTTCGCTTATCCGCCACCAACGATGGCGTTGCCAGAGATCATAGAGCAAGAACGCTCGAAGGAATTACAAGTCGAGACCATCGAGAAACAGGAGATTCTCGAGTATGAGTCGCACTTGGCCGCCGCGTCGACGAGGATACAAATATCTGAACAGAATAGTTTACTATTATCGCAATTGATGACCATGGAACCGACCGGCATCGCTAGGAGACCGCCACCGGCTGTTCTGGAACAGATACAATCTTTGAACGTGTCCCACAGATTGGGACATCTCCTTTGTCGATCTCGCAAACCAGATTTCCTCTTGGATATAATACAGAGGCAGCAGCAAAGTTCGTCGCAGAGCATGCCATGGCTAGCGGATTTAGTGCAAAACAGCGAAGGCTCTCTTAGTCAATTGCCCGTGCAGTGTCTCTGCGAGTTTTTATTGTCTACCAGCGTTCAGGCCGTGGAAAAGCAGCCGCGGCAGCAGCAGCTGTTAGCCCACTTGCAAACATTGTTGACTGATCCTGAACAGGATCGACAACACGCTTATGAAGTTTTAGAATACTTCATGAGAAGATTAAGCAGTCAACAGACTGGCAGCCGTCTTCAAGCTATCACCGGATTGAAGATGGTCCTTGGCTCGATACCCACCGAAGAAGAACCCATGGATATAGACGGAGAGAGCGAAAGGTAATTTATAGTGACTTTTATTAATATTATACGAATTTCAAAACGGAATAACTTTTGTAATACTGGACCAAAGGACTAATATGATGAATTCGACAATCCGCACTTTTTCGGTTCAGCGCATTTGATTAATCTCTCCTTTCACAGTGCAGTGCAATAGTAGTATACGGCTATGTTGCACTACTTTTATACCGTACTCAACGAATATTTATTTTCTTCGAGATTCTAACAAACAATAATTTTTTATTACATGTCATCTGCTACACCATGCCTCCTAACGCCTCAAAGAATCCAGTATTAAAAAAAGTTATTCTATTTTGATGTATACCTGAATATTAATGGTATATATCCATTTAACGCTTTGTAAACTATTTCTGATTAATGTAAATGTATTCGTTTCAGGGAGATCTGGCTTCTTCGCAAGTTACCATCTATACCTCATTTCTTATCAGTAAGATCGTTGGTCTCCACGGCACTCCGAGGAGCCTGCCAAGTCGAAAACAATCCCGAGCTGGTACACGCTTACATAGCCTACCTCGCCGCGCATACTACAGACGACGATTTGCCCGAATTAACCGATCTGGCTAACGAAATCTCTCAATTAGTGGTCGAACGCAGCACGATCATAGCAGCCATACTGCCGCAATCAGAAACTGATAATTCACAAGCGAAACAAACTCTGCACGCGTTCATGGTAATATTTTGCAATTACTTGGAGAAAGCCCGATCCCCGCGGACAGAGGAATACACGTGGTCAGAGAGCCAAGATCAAATATTGGTGCAGTGGAGCACCGGGGAAGAATGCACCATGCACATTCTAGTTGTCCATGCTATGATAATTCTCTTAACGTACGACTCCGACGACGACGTGTTGTTCGACGTTCTGCTCGAAACCTGGTTCCCGTTGAACACGGAGCCGCCGAAAGCATTCCTCGTCGACACGAGCGAGGAAGCTTTGCTCATACCAGATTGGTTGAAATTGAGAATGATCAGGAGTAGCGTGCCACGTTTGATAGACGCGGCTCTCAAAGATTTGGAACCACAACAGTTGGTTCTTTTCATCCAAAGTTTCGGTATCCCCGTGCCTTCGATGACTAAGCTGCTTCACACGCTGGACGCCGGCGTGCAAATCGACCCGAGCTCGGTCGGCGAAGCGGTGTTGGACAAAACGTACATGGCACAGTTGGTCGAAGTGCAACACAGAAGAGGAGCGACGGGCGGTTTGGTTTTCGTACAAGTCTTGCAACTGATGGAGCCACAATTACCCGACGAGAGTGCGGTCACCATTGGGCAATTACAAGAACCGTTGCCTATCACCGGTACCATGGTTCAGAAACAATCTGTTATACAGTGCTCGATTAAAACAGATGTGCCGCATTTGATTAATAGATTATTCATTGAGAACGTATCGATGAATCTAAAAATGGACGCGTATCGTCGTTTGCACAAGACTTTAGCGAAGGATTTGCAAAAATCAGCGAAAGAAAGCGGAGTGATCGTTTTGGCGGTACAACATATATGCAGTGTACTTAGCTCGATGCAAGTTAAACAATTCTTAGCATCGCTCGTTCACATGCCGCAATATTCTTGCACCCTAATGAGGGTGATACTGTTGCCTCTAAAGAAATCGTCCACTTCGAAACAGATCGTGGAACTGGCTCGCAACATGTGTTTGACTTTGATACAATTGATAGGAGACGTGAAGGCCCCGGTTTTATCAATTCTGAAGGACTTCGCAAACGTGCGGTTGACAAAAATGTCTAAAAGCGTGGAATTGTCAATGGTGATGCAAAATAGAGACCCAGGATCTATTTTGGAAAGTACCGACTCGGTAAATTTGGAAGCGGTCGGACGCAAGCTATTGGACATTTGTCTAAAGCAACAGAAGACCGACGTTCTCATCGAGGCAATAGCGAAATTATTGGTGAACGATAGCAACGAAGGTGTTTTAAAGCCGAGGACTGGTTTGCTGATAGACTGGCTGGCATCTGTAGAACCGGAACTAATCGGTATATGTCCTACTCTTCAAATGAAATTATTGTTTGGAAAGACGAAGGTGCAGATGAAAGTTGATAACAATGTCGTCAGCTCGCATTCGTTCAGGCCTTATCTGTTAACTCTGTTAACGCACAGAGCGAGCTGGGCTACTTTGTATAAATGCGTCGGCCACCTGTTAGACAAATGCGACGACGGGTAGGTAGGAAAATAGTTGACTGAAGAACGAGGATTACGTGATATTTATTACAGGTATGATCCCACTGCTGTGTTAGATTTCTTATGGGCACTGACTTGTAATCCGAAATTGTGGCAAGGCAGAGATAAATTCACGCCGAAGCACTATGTACCCGAAGATATTTTATTGTTGCACGAGAAGCAATTACTGACTCTTGTTTCGTATATCGTTGCGGAGGCTGTTATTATATGTAATTGTCAAAATAGGAACGCCGCCCTCGCACGAATGGATTCTCGTCTCAGTTTACTGTTGCACTGCATTTCGACGGATGATCATATGATATCGAGCGTCGTCCGATACTTGGCTGGACGTATGATGAACGATTCGGAGTACGTTTTCTTGAATATATCATCACCCTTTTTAGATTATATGAAAGTAATTGGTTTTGTATTTTAGCATCGACTCCGACATGGTCCATCAGTTTCTATTGCACATGTACATGAAAATACCGAAAGTAATATGCTATTTAGACACGTTCCAAACAAAAAAGTTCGTCGGCGGAGGGAAGATCACAGAATGGACGGGCTCGGTGTTGGATTGTATGAGTCATGCTTTGTTAACGGCTTTGGCAGCGACGCCGAGGCAAAAGTCGTGGAATTCCCGGTCTCAGGACTTCGAGTTGTGTGCTCGAAAAATGGCAGCTGTACATCCAATTTTGGTATTGCGACAACTGCCGATGTTAGCGTCGTCTTTAATGGGAAGATGCTATCTGGATTTTAGTCAATTCAGGTCCGGTCATCATCTAAATTTGTTCACGCAAATAATGGGTTTGTTAGAGCTGTTACAACCGCATTTGTTCAGCGAGGAGCATCAGGACGCTTTGGAAGACACTTTGGAGAATTACTTTCAATGTTTCCAAGTACGTAAACCAATACAGTAATGTCCAGTTATTTGGCCGTGAATTACCCTCCCATCCTTGGGTCTCGACACTTATTTATGTTTACTCTTCTCTCTACAAATAGAGATTTTGAGGAATCATTTTCATACTCGTGGCGGTTATTCACAAAATATTGGACTTACGTTAAAATTGTACAGAACCTCAGTTTGTAGATGATAGCAGTATCTATAACTTTTGTTTAAAACATTTTTTGCTAATATCGAGTCTTATCTATATTTATTCCACTTCCATTTCAATTGCTGTCGTGCTCAGACAGTCGACACTGTTTAATTTTTCCCATGCTGCACACTCGAACACTGAGTGGGTCTACAAAATCCAAGCCTCCGGATGTATGGCCAAACCCCGTTCCGATCGATGCTCATATATCCGGAAATTACTATACTTCGTTCGTAAATGTGTATGGCACTCAAAGCTACTATTTTGTTTTTAGAACTACGGCCCTATAAAAGATCTCATACCGCTCTTGAATAGATTTATTACGCTGCTACAAGCGTACATCTCTTACGATCCGCAGAGGACGTTGAAATATCTTCAGAAGCACGCGCAGATTCTTCAGTAAGTATCCGTGCCTATGATACCTTTTAATGAATTTCAGGTGTCAGCTTACACTTACATGTAGTGAATTGCAGCTGCACTATCCGAATTTAGTTACACTGAGGACACTTGTGTCGGGTATTCCTGTGCCAAGGGAAGGGGAAGACGTAGAGGAGGTTTTGATCACTGTTCCTCCTACTCCACCCCCAGCGGAACCTGTCATCCCTCAGCATTGGCCGTCGTTATTAGCCACTTTGACCAAACTGCAGGGTGAAGGTACGTTCGTACAATTCCTTTTAATTTAAAAGATTTCATCGAAATTTTCATCTCATTTCAGATGTCTTTAACGCTCTCCAAGAAATCGAGCATCTATCATCCCGTAAACCATGGGTCCTCGAGTCTATAACAGACAACATTGCAGAGTTGCTCGTGTCTCCACAGAGCAATGTGAGAAATCTGTCTCACACTTTATTGGCGAGAGCTTTGAAGCACCATCCGACGTCGAACGCGAATATCTTGTCCGCATTTCAAAGGTGCCTCGACAGTTCTCGAGCCGACATTCTGATGTCGGCTTTAGAAAAGTTACCAGAGATTGTATTATGTATGCAAGGTGAGTCTCCTTTTACCTTTGTTGGAAGTAAGCGGTACTACGCACCAGGGTTGCAAATAAATGATTAAATTGAATAAATAATTGATTTAATTCAATCGAAAAACAATTGGGAAATTAACGTTTGAGTTTTTATTCGTTTATGGTTAATTAAAAATTAAATTATTTAAGAAGAAATTCGAATTAACAATTTAATTTTAATTCTTAATTAATAGACTGCGAATGTTTATGCAAAATAAAATATTTATGGTATCTGTTGTAAGAAATGCGTTTCATATAAACATTGGTTTGGCCATTTAAACATTGACATGCAGATTCAGCTTTTGGTATTTGTGAATTGTTTTATTACATTAAACGCGGCATCCATCATTTCTCCACATTCAATTTTCTTATAATTGCATAAAATTCACAGTCCATTATTGAAACGATACTTCAATTGTCGATTGTGATTGTTAATTGTTAATACAGTAATTAAAAATCCGCAGTCCTGGTACGTACCGTCACTCCTATTAATAGCCATAATTGAATAACTCAATAACTCCTTGAATATTGGGCTAAACAACTTATAGCCACTTTACGATGTTAGAAATAAATTTTTAAAGTTGCTGTTCGTAGTCTCCAATACAAAAGTAAAGTACATGATTTGTAAGCTTTTTATTAGGGTCTCCAATAAAAATTCACAACATGCTTCTTGTAGATCTAAATAAGTTATCTGCATTTACGAAGTCTCATAAAAATTGGTCAAGGGAGTTAGATACATCGAAACATGTAAAAATTCTTCCATTTATCTTCAAGTCAGTTGTAGACTGAAAGTCGGGAAAAGCTGCGATTTTATTAAATTTTTAATCGCTTGTAGCTCATAGAATCATTAACCTTTTTGATGGAACTTGTACATGCATATAACTTACTTAGATGTACGAGAAGCATGTTGCAAATTTTTATGGAAGTCCCGAATGAGAAAGTTAAAAATTATATTTCTAATTTTTCTATTGAAAACTTCGAATAACAATTGTTTTAATTTTTTTGTTACACATTATGTAGCAAATTATGCCTTTAAACACCGCAAAGAATATCAAGTTGTTTGGCTCAACATTAAAAAAGTTAATAAGCTTTGAATTGGATACGAATATTAAAGGGAGTCATGCATTTTTCAATAATTTCAAATTTTGTTTTAGAACACGCTCTACCGTTGATGCAGAAAGTATTTGAGTTAGGAGTGAACTCAAACGTAAACGCATTACCATATATAAATAAAACCATTGCTTTATTGAACACGCAGCAAGGTTGTTAATATTGAAATTGTAATTTTATATTTTGTATAAATGAAAATAAAAGTGTTTTTTTTTTTACAAAAAAGTCAACGATTGTGTTCTTGGATTTATTCAATTTCTTGTACTAGAGACACGCTTTTTATACATATGTATGTACATTGTTTATACAATCAGGTTCGTATTTATGGAATGCTTCGGGTGGTACATTATTAACTGTGTACATGCTCATAAACGTTGTAATAGCTGTTCTTATATCCCAATTAGCATCGTCGAGATACTGGTAGCAAAATTTCATGTTCATTGTAGTCAACTCGTGCATATATGTAAGAAGGTGATCCTTTTCCGAAACACTGAATACGGTCGGTGTAAATTTTGGCACAATCTTCGTTTCGGACTTCACATCGCTGTTCGCCGAGTGATTGAGACTATTATTACCATCGAGATAGCATTGGTCATTGGTGATACAGTATTCGTTGTCTTCCTTCTTCATAATTATGAACGTCCTGTTGAAGAACATGGGCGGGCAAGAAACTGCTCTGAAGGAGAATAAGCCTTGCACAGAAATAATTAAATCGAGCTCTCCTTCGTACAGTAAGTCAACGTGAAATGACTTGAAATGATGTATAGTTGGCGGCTGACTTCTAAGAGCCGAGATGATCTTTTCCGGGCCACGCAACAAAAACTCGTGACACTTCGCGTAATCGACGAATTTCAACAAGTTTCTGTTCGTGGCAAACATTTTGACGAACTGTTTATGATAGTAATTCGAGACATGTCCCAGCGTCATCGAATAAAGCGCATCTCTCTCGTACAACCCATTCATTATTTGTCTGTCATCTTGATCGTACAGAGTAAAATAATGTCTCACGAACTGTTTGACCAGGCTGGTGTTCCTGCCATCTCTTAAATAATTCCTTTGGACGTTAGGAACAAATTTCTGCTCTATACCTATGACAACCCCATCTAATTTTTGCAAATGTGGGAATACGTTCCTCACCGCTTGTATATAGTCCTGACACTTGTTGTACTTCTCACACAACGGATTACCATCTAACCAAAGTTCGCTTATCTTAAACTCATTGAAATAATGCAGGTACTCCACGTCTGTGATCTGATTGTGTCTCAGATCCAACTTGGTTAGATGATAATTGAAGAACTTCTCGAAAAGAGTAATCCCTATGATTTGATTATACTTCAAGCTTAATTCTCTAACAGGTAATCGTGAGTCTCGATTACCCAGGATTCCCATCTTGCTACATCTTAAAACAAAGTGTAACACCTTGTGCAATGATATGGGACAGTATATAGAAGTCAAAGACTTCTCGTTTTCGAAGTCGTCGAGATTCAATACCTTCTTGGTAGGCTCGTAGTGAAAGTACAAGGCTTGCGCTACGGCTCTCTGGGGATTCAACTGCACATCCTGGGAGTCTGTATATCCTAACACAACGTCTACGCAGAGTTCCTGGTCATTAGGCAATTCGCTTATCTTAAACTCATTGAAATAATGCAGGTACTCCACGTCTGTGATCTGATTGTGTCTCAGATCCAACTTGGTTAGATGATAATTGAAGAACTTCTCGAAAAGAGTAATCCCTATGATTTGATTATACTTCAAGCTTAATTCTCTAACAGGTAATCGTGAGTCTCGATTACCCAGGATTCCCATTTTGCTACATCTTAAAACAAAGTGTAACACCTTGTGCAATGATATGGGACAGTATATAGAAGTCAAAGACTTCTCGTTTTCGAAGTCGTCGAGATTCAATACCTTCTTGGTAGGCTCGTAGCGAAAGTACAAAGCTTGCGCTACGGCTCTCTGGGGATTCAACTGCACATCCTGGGAGTCTGTATATCCTAACACAACGTCTACGCAGAGTTCCTGGTCATTAGGCATCAACACACGCAGACCCTGCTTCACGAAATTCTCAATAGTAGCTGCAGTACATTTAGCTAAGAAACTACTTTTATTTGGACCTTCTTGTTTGTACATAACAGGCAACAAAACTTCGGGTTCGCAGCAAAGTATAACGTTTTTTAATATTTCGTTCCTTTTGTGCTGCCCTGTGCCAAACAGAATAAATTTGTGCCATAAATCCTGACGCGATGCTAAAGTTGACTCTTGATTAGTGAACAATGGTTTAGTATATGTCAATCGTATTGGTTCCCAACTTGGGACACTTTCAGTAATTTCTGTAGTCATTATCTGGCTTCTTTATATTAATATTACACTGCAGGAATTTTGAAAGAAACACATAAACAGTTTACTTCTTTATTTATCCAAACTTATTACCGCATGCATCGCGCCATTTCTCCCGAACCTGGAACACTCAACACCACGCAACGCTTGTAAACAACAGTAAGCATGTTTGCGTTTGCAAGGGTTATGATCGTTATGATCATACCAAGGATATATGAGGATTTTTTCAAATTTTTCGATCCATAATTCATAGAACTTAAAATTAAGATATCAGATTTCACGGGGTACATACCTTAAATTACGATTTTCAATATTTTGGGGATATAAATGATTTAATATCTTTGATTCTAATGAATTGATGAAAAAATTCAGAAATTTATTACTGTACGAGTAGTACACGTAAGAATTTTTAAAAGATCATTCCATTCGTAATTTATTAAATGAAAATTCAAAAAATTTGTAAACATTCAAGATTTCTATGATACATCTACGCATGCGTAGTAACAGCGCGCTCATATCTTTTCCCTCGGCCGAAAAGTGGGGACGACGCGACCATGGTGGGGACCATAGCGCTGCGGAGAGCTTCGCGAACGCGCATGTGCACGCGTGAGGAGAATAGTAGTGGGGATCGAAATACGGGCGAAAAAGAGGGGAAGCGAGCCTCGAGGGAAAAAATATGAGCGCGCTGCTGTCCGCCGCAGTGTTGGGATACATACGGGCCGGGTTTTCTCATGCATGCGCGGCATTTTCAATAACGTATGTTGGCGCGCATATTTTGGAACCCAAGGGGTATTCGGACTCCTGGAAGTAATATTGGCGGGAAAAGACCGAGACGAAGACTGTTGCCGGTAAAATTGATGTTCAATTTGTAATAATTTTCGCAAAATTATGCACGGCGATCGCGGCGCCCCATTTTATCGAAAATTATACGTTACTGATGCTGAAAAAGCCGCGCATGCGCGAGAAAACCCGACCCGTACGTATCCCAATTCGCAACACTGGTCCGCTGTCGCCGTTGGTCGCCGTCATATACTTATATATATCGTATCATCGTATGTATGTACTAAGCAAATACCCACGTGCTTGTAGAATTTAGATGGGAAGATTTATTCAGACATCATCATGAAAGATAAAAAAAGGTAAGCTGTCTTATACTCAACCAATTCTCCTTTGATTTATAAATTTCGTTATAATTTCGTTATAGATCAAGAGCTACAGAAGAGAGCAGGGTAACGGAGGATTTGGAGGACGTAAATTTAAACGAAGTGACAGATTCCGAAGCAGAATACTCTGAAAATGAGCGGAGGCTACTAGAAAAAGTACGAAGCAGAGAATCTTCGGAGAGTTACGATAGTGATTATGAAGTGTACGGAGTGCAAGATGAGAATGAACCAGATCAAAAGGATACCGAAGATGAAGCACAAACGGATTCCATGGGGTCCGATATCGAGGGATTGCAAGAAGATCTTGATTTACCGGATGAAAAAGCTTGGGGGAAGAAGAAAAGAGCTTATTATTCCACAGATTATGTAGACCCTGATTATGCTACTGCGAGTCAAAAAGATTTGGCTGACGCAGAGATGGAAGAAGAAGAAGCTAAAAACATACAAAAGAGATTAGCGGAACAATTGGACGATGCTGATTTTGGATTAGATCTTATAGAGACGAAAGAGAGCAATGATCAGAAGGCAGAGGAAAATGCAGAGGAATTCATAAAGACTGATCTTAGTAAACTTAGTAAAAGGCAAAAACAAGCGATAATGCAGAAAGAAAGTCCTGAATTCATTGTTCTTGTTAAGGATTTTAAAGGTATCAGAATACATTTCTTATATGAAAATTATACATTTCTTATATACTTATGTCTAGTACTAATGCATGTTATATGATTTAGATCGCATGATAGAAGCAAGAGATTTAATGGCACCATTCCTGAAGTTAGTTAAAAAGAACGTGATTCCTAATTGCCCTGCAGTTTCTTTCGCAAAGACGAAATACCATCTTTTATTAAATTACTGCATCAACATTTCTTTTTACTTAATGCTGAAGGCAAAAAGGTCACCTGTTAATTCTCACCCGGTTATAAAACGTTTGGCTCAATATCGTCAATTGTTGAACCAACTGGAATCTGGGCAAGGGAATTTGATACAAGAGATACGAGAAATATTAGAAGCTGAAAAACAGGGAGAGCCTTTGTATAATATATGGAATGGTACTAGAGTAAGCGTACCTAAACGTAAGACAAGTCGATCGAAAGTAGTTAAAAAGACGAGCGAGATGATGGATATAGATTCGACGGAGTCTGAGTCTGAATTTATAGGAGAAAGCGAAATGGACGAGAAAATAGAATTAGAGAAGAAAGATGAAAAGATCGAAGATGAGAATCCTGCGATTAACGCAGAAGAAAAAAGAGCAATCACGTATCAAATAGCGAAAAATAAAGGATTGACACCGCATCGCAAAAAGGAACAACGCAATCCTAGAGTGAAACATAGAAATAAATATCGTAAAGCTAATATTCGTAGAAAGGGAGCGGTACGTATTTATGCATTTTTCAAAAAAATTATACCATTGCGAAATTTGGGTCGAAAATTGTTCAAGTTTAAAAGATGATTACTCAGCAAGAAATTATCGTAGGGCTTCTTATAATTCTTCTTTGAAATTTAAGCTTGAAAGTTTTATTTTAAAATGGTATTCAGAGATATCATTAATTTTCGTTGGTCTTTGGCTGCTGTTGGATTGTTTAATATTTCGTATATAAGGACACAATTGTATGGTAGAGTGAGAGATTGTGTAGTGGATATAATCGTGTTTGAAGTGGAATTGCGTTCAGGATTTTTGTAATGCGTGAATGATGTTAGAGATTTCTTCAAACTGCTATAAAATCGAGAGAAGAAATCGAAGGAACTCAATTTTATTTTAAATTATAGGCGAAGAATCGCTTGCCGTAAAAAAGATCACTGATAAATAATTATCCAAGCCAGTGCACGTTGTCAAACATTAATAATTTTTAAATTTTCTAACATGCTCTTGGATTTTGGTGTTGTCTATCATAGGG